ACAAGTCCTAATTTAAAGGAGTCCCAACGCTCTCTTGAAGCTCATTGTTGCAGTTTATTACTCTAATGAGCACTTGAAAAGGACATTATATCTGCTTACCATTGCCTACCCATCACTAAGGCCATCAGTGTGATTGCTGAGGAGTGGGTGTGAGCCTTCTTACTTCAGAGTCTTTACTGAACACATTGGCTCTCTGATTATGTTGACAACTTCAGAAAACCAGACAGGCAGCTTAATCTTTACAGAGCGTGATACAGGTAAATAAAGCACATCAATGTCCTTCATCTGAAGAATAGGCTGAGCTGTGGTGCAGCAGAGCTCCAGACGTGACAAGATAAGAAGAGTGAGAGAATAAGAATTCGAAGACAAAAAGGACAGCAGCTTGGGAAAGGGAAAAAAATAAGTGACTCCTAATTGGGCCTGCAACCTCCCAAGGGTCTGGGGGCAGCCTACAACAAGAAAAAAGAAGAGAACATGGACAATGTAAGAAATAAAAAATCAGTTCGAGCCAGGGTCATTCTCCTCGTGTTCCATTCTGATATAACAACCTGCTCACTACACATTATCCCTTACATATACTGTATGTTTCTCATTCAACACAAAATAGATGTTCTACCATCATACTTTTTTTGGTTATTCTTTTTTTTTTTAATACACCTGTCCCTCTTGTTGATCAGTGACTGTTTTAAATTCCTATTAGATTATTCCATTTGATAGGCCAATAAGATTATTATTTTATTTTTATTTTTTTGTTGTCTTTGTTGCTGTTGTACCTTTGGCTCATTGGCAGTCATCCTGGCAACTTTTATTTATGGTGTCTTTACAGTGCTTTTTCACACAATCAAAAATAGAAGAGAAAACATTTCAAGGTGATGAAGACATGAGAAGAAGAGAAACAACTGCCCATAATTGGCATGATGTACCTGAGCTGTTTAACACAAACAAAAACTTACTGATCAAACCAAGCCAAGTCACAGAGGTATACATCTGCACTTCATTAGGAACAGTGCATGGCATAATTAACGTGTTAAAGTGTAGTATTGCCCTATGAATACAGTACAGTTTAACAAGTTTTGCTTCATTGATATGCTGTTTGAGACACATTTTGTTGTCATCTAAATCCAAAATGATGCAAACTTAAACCCAAAGATGCAATAAAGGAGTTGTTTATAATCGTACTAAATTCTTTTTAATACACTTTGGCAGGCGAGACAAGTCAGGAGTCACAGAGAAAACGACAGCCAGTGAATACAGAGTGTGAGGAAGAACAAAGAGGACAGATGGAGAAATGAACAGGAAGATGTTTCAGGCACAGAAACAAGAGGATATAAGAGGGCGAGGGATGGAGCAGGTTAAAGACATGAAAGGACGATGAGCGGAAGGGCACAGGAGACACGGTTCATCACAAATCACACAATATTTTGGCACAGCTGTTCTTGCGGGTTGTAGCCTGGGTCAGATATTGCAACCATTTATATGTTTCTCATTAGATATTGCTTTAAAGAATTACAATGCTGTGATTTTAAGATGACTATATTTTACTCTTCCAAAGCCTTTAAATGCCCATCTTTACAGTGTCAGTTCTTGGACCCCACTAGTTCTAAAATGTTGGCCCTGCTTCTCAATGCTAAATATATGTTCTAGTATGTTCGTGTATTACTGTTGTTTAAAAGAAAGTGCAACCAGCCTATAATTAGGATGAATTATTTGCAAGAGAGATACATCTTTTAAGAAAACTACGTAAAAGACATCATTCTATTTGTCAAGTCCTCAGTGGCCACAAAGGACATGTTTGTTTCCAGATATGATCTTTTACAGCTGTGGTCATGGGGTTTTAGTGGGTTGAACACTAAGTAGGAAATACAATCAAGTAAATATGATCACAGGATCTTTTGACCTCCTCTGACCTCTGCTCAACATGAAGGCAAGAAAAAGAAACCACAGAGCTATTGATTGAGACAACACAGGCTCGTCTGTCTCAGCTGGACTCATTTCTGACCTACATACAGGGTCAGACACCATCGCTCAGTACACGACAGCAGGCTGAAACGCATCAAATCATCATTTTCGCACACTCCTTTTCTTTAAATTCTTTCAACAGCTGCGTTATTCCCTTTCTTCAAACCATTTTACTTTAATGAGATAAAGACTATAAGACAGAGCAACACTTCAAAAGAATTGATCTTCCCTGGTGATTAAATTGTATTCGCTTGATCTGCATGAATCCAATTTATCAACAGATAGAGCACTGATGCAGAGGCCGCTACACAATTAGAGGCAAACAGAATTATCTGGAGAATATGCACCTCCAGCGGAAAAAAAAAAGCAGCGCCATTCAGCGGCCCAGTCACTTGAGGAGACACCAGAAATGAAAGAGGATAGTTTTTTTAACAAGATGTGAGAGCTCAATAAACAGACAAACATAACTCCAGGCAGTCAGAGGAGAAGAAGGGAATACACAACCATCTCCTTTCTGATGAGGCGGGGTGAGAGGAGGAGGGCTGGGATCACTCCTCGGCTAGGACAATCAGCCCTCAGAGGACACCCTTAACTTTATTTGTTCCACTTGATGGTCATAAAGGAATCATACCCCCCCATTCACCATTAAGTCAGCAGGTTTCTGAGAACTGAGCTGAGCTTTACGTCCAGCAAGCTGCTCTCTGAGGCCGCTCAGGAGTTTTATGTCACCCTGAGCTCTAATATGTGCAGAGTGAGGACATTTATTTTACACGTGATATAATGTATGTGATAGAATAAAGACTAACAAGATTTCAGACTCTGGTAATGATGAATAATCAACAAGATGGGCTTCCAAATGAAATATAAAGTAAGGCCAAATTAATATATTGGCACTTAAGCTCAATTAACCAAAATGTGACAGACAGATGCAAATATTTTGACAATTGGTTAAATGTTTCAGTAATTTACTTGTAATTTTTTTTTAAAAAGCTAAAAAAGTATTTTGTTCCAGTTTATTAGATGTGACAACTTATTCTTTGTAATATGTGAACTGAGACTGTTTGAGATTTTGATTGATGGTTGAATAAAAGCTTTTTCTCTGAGTTTAGGGAAGTAATTATTAAAATGTTTTGCAATTTTTTGGCAAATAAAAAGACAACCAACAAGCAATTAATTCAGAAAATAACAGGCAGATAAACAACAATGACATCAGTTGTTAGTTGCAGCCTTAACTTATTCCAAACAGGATTAATGACTTAATCCATGCCTCAAATAATGTCATATAAGTAGGCTTTTGGGAGAGAAATGCAAACTTATCATCACAGGACTTCCCTGCCAAATAAAATGAATAAACAGTCAAAGTAAGGTACGCTTCTGAAAAAAAAAAAAAATTCTCAATGCAAAAGATAAACGACTTAATTCTCCCCTCAGATATTGTGAGGGAGGTTAATTCTTAAATGAATCAAACTTAATCTTCAAAACATTTCAGCGCAGAAATTCCTCTTTTATTTAATCTATTTGCAAAAACACCCACAGGTTGTCTCTACCTGCACTTGGCATCTGCAACACAATAGTGTGACTATTAAAAATTCTCCACACCTGACAAATATCTGATCTCACATTCTTTCACACATCCTCTAATAGCCTCATGCTTTCAAACAAATGAGTTCCTGCTCTTTCTCCTCCCTGTCTCCTCCCACTGTCACCACAAACAGCTAAATCAAATATTCATATTGAAGGGGAAAGCATTTAACACCATGTTGTTATCTGAGAAATCAGTGATGCAGTTAATGGCTGTTGTAAAAATGGAAATCTTGCAAGATGATAGAGCTAATTGCTGTTTTTGTCTCTCTCTGACACTTACATGATGAATTGTAGCCAATGGAATGAAAGTTATTAGATTCTGCAAACAACAGCGAGGACAAACAGCTTCACTCTGTGCAGTGTTAGAGTTTAGAGTGCCCTCTCGATGCCACTTCGCTTTTATGAGGCAAATGATCTGAATAATAGGACCTGCTGCCTCGAACATTCCCACATTAGGTCATAGCTGAGGTTTCTGCAGCATCAGACGTCCTCTGGCTGTGGTTTTGTCTCCTCCTGGTTTGCACCTGCTTTTCAGAGAGCTTGCTGAAGAGCCCTGCAGCCACCTGGCCCAATCCAGAGCAAGGTGGTGGTGGTGTTGGGGAGCACCTGGAGTAGCTTGATGATGACTCACATGGAGCAGAGTCTACCTACAGGAGAGTTCAGAGCGGCACAGCGAGAAAAACAAGTGTCTATTTGTCAGATCCCATCTTTCAGGTCAGCAGCTTTCGGGCATTAGGGCCAAACGGGAACACAATCTTAGGTTTGTTAGAAAGAGTTCAACTTTGACTGTATCCCCTCGAGGTATTGCACTTTTTGCGCTCTAATCTCTATCTTCTGCGAGTAGATGGCATATGGAAAAAGACAACAAAACGTAGCCCGAGGAGGTCTATTTAATCCTTGATGGCAGGCATCCCAGAAATTCAAGGAGGTTGTCAAAGCAAATGCAAATTGGACCTTCATGTGAAAACATATTAAAATCTAGATATCTGAGCGGCCCTGCAGTGATTGTTGTGATTGAGCAGGACGATAAAAAAAAAAGAACATGTCTAGTTTAATGACATGAGTTTCAGAAGCAGGATAAGTCTCTAAAAAAAAAGCTACGCCCTCATATTGCACATCCTCTGCAAAGACAGAGGCCCTCAAAGGGGATAACAAGTGAGTGTAGATCAATATAACTAGTATGTGTTAAATTTCAAGATTGTTTGATGTCTGGACAGGTTCACAGAGAGCAGGTTCAGGCCTGATTCAGAGCTGAGTCACCTCTCCCCTCGTTTTTTTTCTTCTTCTTCTACACCACCACAACATGAGATGGTGCAAGTAGGATTAAATATCATTGACTTTTATGCGAGTTATTCTGTTTGAAGGTGTGAGAATCCTGATGAGTTTTGCATGCCTGAGGATCTCCCTCGCACCAGCAGAACAACAGGTGAAAAGCAACTTTACAAAGATGCCAAAAGTTATACAAAATGTCATGAGACTTTATTTACAAAAGTTTCATGAGGATATGAAAATATCAAAATCATTCAGCATCACAGTTTTTCACTGTCAATATACAATCATCTCAGTCACACTTACATTCAATATATAAAAATATAAAAGGAAACATACATATGATTGCCAAGGAAAACTGAGGCACTTGAGATTTTTTTTGTTGAGTGCTGGCAAACTGTTTCTAATGTCTGTGCAAAATTCATAATTATATTAATTTCACCCTCAAAAGTTTGCACTTGTTCCCTAAGTTACAATGGCTTCAGTATTCCTCTAGTTTGGTTTATCTTGTCATTCATAATGTGACTTTTTGGTATCGTTTAAAGAGTGGAGGACTGCATAACAGCCATTTATGAGAAGCATTACAAACACAAAAGATAACAATTTGAAGGCATAAAAAAACACTCTAAACATGCAGAAAAGTGCATGAATAGCACAGGTAGGTAAGTACATGGCATGACGAAGCTCCACACTGATTGCAATCACAGAAACACTGCTTGAAACGAAAAGGCACGTGAGCTATTTCTCACTCTGAAATGAAATTGACCAAGTCTTTGGAGCACAAACCCCCTCCATGAGATTCCCTGACAGTTCTCCTGGACTTGGAGGAAGTTACAGAGGGGGGGGGGAGTCTTTTTCTTCTTTTTTTTCTGCTGCTGCTGGTGGTGGAAAAGTATCCCAGTTCAGTGTGCTACACAACAACCAGATTCCTCATGCTTGTGCAGAAGAGACATCCTGGAGAAGGTTTTTGAGCAGTTCTTGCATTGGTATTTTTTCACATCCGAATGGGTCTGTAGGTGAGCCCTGAGATTGGACCTGTCTGCAAACGCGCGGTTGCAGTGAGGGCAGGAGAACGGTTTCTCTCCTATGAAGAAAAAATTTAAAAAGACACTGTTAAAGACGGCACATAGACATTTGAGAATAAAGAAATGTGTTATGCAAAGGTCTTGGTCTGCTATGTTTTGCTTTAGAGAAATCCCCTGTTACTTTATAATCAGTTGCTTATTGATTGTGACATGTTATGTGTCATAAAAAACATAACCACTAAAATGACTGTAAGTTACAACTAAATGTATTCAACAAAAGCAACCTGACAGATCAATTAACCTTTTTTTAACTTGGTAACAAGGTCACCAGTTGCTTTCAATGCAATCACATCGAGTTCTAAGTTGACTTCAATTAAGTCTGTGCCCACAACAAATCGTCATAACCCAGAAGGCCCCTCTGTTACTCCCCATCCACTCACCGGTGTGCGTCCTGATGTGTCCCTGCAGCAGCCACGGTCTGGAGAAAGCCTTCCCGCATATTTTGCAAACACAAGGTAAGGTGTGAGTCCTGATGTGCATTTTGAGAGCCCCCAGGCTCACGTACTCCTTCTCACAGTATTTACAACTGAAGGATTTCCTCGTCTGGGCGTCACAGTGCAACTGTTTGTGTTTGAGCAGTCCAGAGTACGTGGAGTAGGACTTGCTACACAAACCACACGTGAATTTCTCTGCCTCCACCCCATGAGGGTCCGTCAGCTTGGGCAGCATCTGCTCGTCTTCATCGCTCCTCGGGCTTTCGGAGCCGCTGTGGTCTTTGGAGGAGGTGTCAGAGAGCGACGACGGGTATCCAGAGATAGGGGAGAGGTCACTGGGGAGCGGAGACAGCGGCAGGCTGCTGGTAGTCCACACGGTGATGGGGCTGTAAACTGCCGGGCTCAGGATCTCCGTCTGCGGGATGACGGGCAGTGGGAGGCCCCGATAGATGTGCGGCGTGATAAACACTAGAAATAAAGACAATAGAGTTAAATGAATGGTCATGTGATCCCTCTCATCACTTGAGTTTTGAGCACATATTTCAAAGTACGTCAAAAAAAGTTTAAAAGCTGAAGCAACAAAAAGCTCATTCGTGTAAGAAAAACAACTTTTAAAAATAAAACTTTTATTTTGAAAACGTTACCTGTTGGGCTCTCCAGTTCACTATAGTTTGGCTTCTTTGCGGAGTTTATGTGTTTCTTGACCAGAAAAGAGCGTGGCATCTTGAAGAACAAGTGGACAACTTTTTGGCAAACTTTTGTCTTGTAAATCACAGCGGCAGGGAGCGTCAGTTTAGTGCGTAAAGACGGAAATCCTTATTTCTTAAGTCCAGTGGAGTGTCATGGTGCTGCGCTGTGCTCTTAGAAACAGTGCACTGAGTAGCTGTTAAGAGCTGTAAATACTCCCCATCAGGTGCATGGGAGGAGCCATCCTCTGCCATCTACATATACTAGGAGCTCAAACCAATTAAATCTCGCTTTGAGCACACAGCTTTCAAATTTGCCTTTAGCCTATAGGAGCGCGTGACCCCCCTCTAGAGGCTGGGTCAGTGTCATTTACGCCGGTTAGACAGGTGCTTCTGGCGAAAGACCTGAGTGGTTTTCAAGAGTGCAAATCCAACAGTAAGAAGTACCAACATTTAAATCAACTAGACATGCTTAGATTTTTTTGTAAATATTCCAGCAATTACAAAGAGATCATGAAAGTGCAATGAAAAAAGAAACAGTAAGAGCTGGGTGAGATAGGCAGCGTTATTCAAAATGCCATCTCTAATGCAATCACTGCACAGAGTGTGCGTGCTGCCACTGATGATTGCTGTGTTATAAACCTCTGGGGACTTGATTATCCTGTATGAGTGCCATGTTTGAACTCATACTAACAGCAGCACTCCTAATGATGATGATGATGATGATAGCAGCTCGACTGAAGGAAAAGGAAGGTTTATTCTGTATATGTACACATATTTTATATCTATCCAAATCTAGCAGATCTGACTGTGATTTATGCTGGAACTAAACAGGACCAAGATGCATGCTGCCATCTAAATATAAACTACCCTAATGCAGTTCTGTGTGCAGCAAGCAACAAATACTTCCTCACTAATAATGCAATAAGGGCATTCCTTCTTGAAATGTAAATTTTAAGCAAAGTTCCCTCTCAAGGTCAGACGTGATACAGTAATCAAATTTATTCCTGCTGCTGCTCTTGCTGCTGCTGCTGAACTGGACAAAGAGAGTCAAACTTAGCAGTCTACGCCCCCTTGTGTTCGACTCAGCGCCTCTGAGAGGGGGCCTGAGGTGAACATCTGAAAAGTAACAAGGCAGAAGAAACACACACACACACACACACACACACACACAAAGGCAAAGGCTTAGCTATGGAGATATTGAAAAGCAGCTCCTGGAGCAGTTTGATTGGCTAGGTCAGCAGATATGAAAAGCTCCTTATGTCTGGGGCAGGCCTTAAGTTAATTGTGAACCGCTTATCTTATCTAGAAAACATAATTGCAGATCATGAATAGTTTCCCTTTGTGCCTGCTTGGATTATAAAGGGAAGGGAAGGTTATCTGTGCAGAAGAACTCCTGGCTACCGTCACATGTTCAGTGCACTTTATACCACTGTGAGGGATGGTAGGTGTTGGGAGGTGATGAGCAGAAAACATTGTGTAGCAGAACAGATAATGCTTTAAAATCAATAATACCCACAGCCCAAACCACATCGGAGAGGAGCAGAGCATGCATGGCCAGGTGTAAAAATGCCTTCCTGCTGTTTTTATGCTTCAGTGCTGTTTGTCTGCATTCAGAGCATGTGGGTGCTATTCCACTGACAGCAATGAAGCATGGTGAGAAGACCAAATTCGTATCACTTCTTCTGAAAAGCAGAGGCCCGAGTTTACGAGCTTGAAATTAATTAACAGAGAAAAAGGCAGAGTATCCCTGGCCGCACATTGTGTCAGAGCAGGATGGTGTAACAGCTGCAAAAAATGTGTTCTCTTAAAACATGAACGTGCTTTTGATTTCTGGTCAGGTAAAATGATCATATTGTTTTATAAGAAGCAGCTCTTTGATACAGCATCCAGGTGTTATCCTACATGCATACAAAATCCTCATCTTTTTTCTTTGACAGCAGTGTGTTGACATTTTTCATCTAGGCAGTGTTTTGTTGAATTCATCTTTCATCATCTCCTAAAAAAGACATCTAAAACAAACATTGGTAACATCCTTATTAAATTGACAACGGATCAGGAATGAGCAGCAAGTCTTATATATTTATTTTTTCTGTTTCTCTTTGTTTTTTTGTTTTTTTAATTGCGTTTCCATCCCTCATTATTTTTTATTTTATGTAATCCTGCTTATCTTTCCTTTAGTTTTCTTGTGTCGGCTTTTAGCTTCCCACCTCCCTTGCTCAGGCTTTTGTTTACTGTTAATCCATACAATTTGTGGGAATGGTTAGGAGTAAATTAGTCTGTTAAGTTTATTTTTTGAGTGTATCATATTTTTAATAATTTCAAAAGGGGGGAGGGTCAATAGATTGAACAAAAGCAATATAAACACTATGTTGTACACTAGGACAGATTATTTAAAGCTCCCACAAAACATGATTAAAAATCCAATGTTTAATCAATAACACTGCAGATTTACGACTAAATACACAAATAAAAGCTAGTAAATAGGCTATAGAAATATTTATAAAGACTTAAATATTGAAAGTTCTGTTAACCAGCATCTCCAACACAGTGAAGATTTGGTTTGAACAATCAATGCTGTCAGTGTTGCCAAGTTGTTGTTGTTGTCCCGTTTCGGAGCCGACTTCGGAGTCTTTTAAAAAACTGGGTACCTGATGTCACCTTTCCCTAATGGAGTCCCTGCCATTTTAAACCAATGATATAACCTCAAACATAACCAAAGAAGCAGCAATAAATTCTGATCCCACTGTTGGAGACCATTTGTCATAGAATTGGCTGAAAAAGAAATGGTGGAAAGATAAATATGTCATTGTGGGTCAGCATTGAAACTGCATTTACAGTGGATCAGCCACTTTACGCCTGACAATTGTTCCTCTTAAAAAGATCAAATCTCCTGATCCAGAGTATTATCATGAGATATACTTGACATGTGCAACCATTTAAAGGTATAATAATGTCAAACGTAGCACTAGCACCAGGCGTGAGGTGACACCTGAAGGCTTCACAGGAGCCATAATCCAGGTGTGAATTAGCCTTGGTTTGCTGATGGATCACAGTTAAGCCATTAAAGGGACAGTGATGAGGAGCAGAGCGGTGGAGACAATGGTTAGTGTTGTAAAGTGGGGAAGTCACTCAGCAAATAACCGTGAGAGCAGCTGCAGGATCATCAGGACCAATTTACCTTTAATTAACAACCCTTTCAGAATAAGAGTCTTGACCTGAGTTGTAAATTCCCACACGTCACACGTGCTCCTCAGTTTATGAGAAAGAGCTGTCCATGACGCGAAGGCGGACAACACGAGACGTCAGAGTAGTCAACTTGCATCATGTTGGGGGAAACATCAGGAGTCTTCATCTGGCAAGATGACAGCATGGAAAATGAGGTGCACCTGGTCAGCCTCGCGCAGCTGCTGCTCACGCGAGGGCCTCGGGGAAGGAATCCAAATACTACCGAGTGACTGAACACATCCAGCGTGTGTGAAGAGATGCAAGTGTGTGTTCATTCATTCATTGACAACACCAACTGAGTCATGACGGTCTGACTGAGACAATCCACCCATGCTTTTATTGTGTATCTTTATATGTGCCATGTAGGTGAGGAAAGTTGTAACACACACAGGCTATATGCAGGCACACAGTTGACTTTAATGTCAAAATAACTGTGGAACAAATCAAACATTGTATCTTAATTCTTGTGATGCAGATCTCAAACCTTGAATCTCGAGTGATTGAATATTGAATACACACACACACACACACACACACACACACACAAACACACACACCCACCCACCCGCAGTGCACGAAAACGTAAGAGCTTGGGGGGGGGGGGAAATCGCTTTGTGAGATCTTTCAACGTCTTTAGCAGTGGTGTGATGTTGAAAACGCCAACAAACGTCCCTTGAAACAGTCTTAAAAGTACAATCATGTAATATTTATGGAGCCGGAGTTGTGCGGTTGCTTTGGGTACCTACTGTATAAACGAAGTGGATTGACGCGCGCGCTAAGGCAGCCTGCATGTGATTTCCAGCCTCAGTCATCTTGGCAGCACGATGCGAGAGAGAGGCAGAGCCCGACTCGGAGATGTGAAACTGGACCCTCTGCCAGAGATGTCGACGGAGAGGAATCCCTGAAACCGCCCGCTTTTTCCAGGAAATATGTACAAATGTGGTTCTGTGTGCGAGTGCGGGCTGTTATCCTTTCGGGTTTTTTTAATTTTTATTTCTTGCACAGAGTGATAGTGGACCAGGATGCCGTGTGGGCGATGCTGCCACAAGGGATACATTGTGATTTCGCAGGGATGTTTTAGCAACCATTGCATAAATTAGAATAAGACGAGCCGTCACAAAAGGGATTGGAGTCTAAAGGGATCTAATAAGACTTCACCACCTGTTACTAGAAGATCAGGTAAGCCTCACAGACCTTTTATTACCTCTTTACATTTACACCACCTCATAATACAGAGCATGACGAACGCAGGTAGTTCATAATTACGCCAAACAGTCATTAAACGTAACATTAATCCTGTTACAATTTACTTTTTGGAGATGTAATTGCTTTAATGTTGCGCATGCACCCAGATTTAAGCACCTATATGATCCTATGAATGATAAAGCACCACATGCTCTTATATACATATTTGTGTTCTGCACACTGACATGAACAGTTCACTTCTGATGGACCACATTATGAAGAAGGGTTTAATTATGGTATGATTTGCAAGGAATATGTGGCAGAAAGCTTCACATTGCCTCAGTGCAGGTACAGGAGCTGCACCCGCAGTTCCTCCAGCCAGTGCAGAGGCAGCAGACCTCTTTTTATCCACAGTGCTGCTATTCAGCTGCGTTAAAGTCTCTCTCTCTCTCTCCCTCTCTCTCTCTCCCTCTCTCTCTGCATACCATGTCATTAATCCTCAAGATACTTTATGAAGAGATATGAAAATAGGCTATTTTCATATCTTAATATACTAGTTTCTTCTTCAAGAAAGCTTCCAGGAAATGTCCAACTAAGATTCACCAGAGGAGTGTTTCAGCTCAACCCCCTGATGATGCTGCTGCTGCTGCTGGTACAGTCAGTGTTTTATTAGCCTGGCACAAAGCTCCTGAATCCTCCAGTGTGTCACTAAATTTACATTGCTTCTTTAACTACAAACTGCTGCAGCTGTTTTTTCCCCCTCATGCTCTGCAAGGTGACACATAATCAGAGAGGTCAGTACCCATGAATCCCACTGAGATACAAGAAGTCAGACTCCACAGCAGTGATTTCTGGTTTCTGTCAACGTTTGAAACATTGTCAGGCTCACACAAGCATGCTAAGCTAAGCTGAGCGGAGCCAAGACGGGCTGAGCTGGTCCATTCCTCTGGTCAGAGGTCAGGAGCAATCTGTTTGATGTAGTGGAGGTCTCACTTCGTACACAGGGGAAGACGCTCACACGTCATTGACGATTTTATGCCCAGGCACACACGTCGCCCCCCCCCTCCCCCTCATTTCAGCCTATGTCTTCAATCAAAGGGCGGTTTGGCTGAGTGACAGAGGCGACTGGTAAGAAAATCAGGCGAGAGTAAAATGGTGTCAGGCCCGTCTGGTCAAAATGTCAGAGAGAGAGAGGGACAACTTGTTTGAATCCGCCATTCTGGATCAGCCGATGATAGGAAAAGGAGACTGTCACAAAATTTTGCCCAAAGCAATCCTGATCTGAAGCATGTCCAGATCCAGAGTAGCACATACGAGTTCCTCCTCACTTTGTCCGTTTTCTCTTCCAATCAATAACCTGATTTTTTTCTCCTGCAACTCAATCCCAGCGGGTCGTTTAAAAATCAGAAGCTAGCTAAACGTCTCGAAAACGCACAAGTGGGACAGCTTGTCTTAAGGCATTACTACTAGAAGCAGTGAATGTACACATTGGCATTAATTATGTATGTTAACACATTCAAAGTGCTGTTATACACTCCCCCCCCCCCCCCCCCCCCAGCAGCCTGCATGCAGTGGCTCTACATGTAATAGTTGTTGTGAATATTCAAGTGTTACACTTTCTGTGCACCCAGTGAAGCATTAGTTTCACTTTTTGGATGTCATGTGGCTTTATTCAGTAACCTATTTTGACCGTAAGACAAGGAGTGCTGTCCTGGAAATGAGAAACATGACAAGGAACCAGAGAATAATGGAGAAGTAGCAACATGAGTTTACTGATTTTTGTGCATCCAAATCAGAGAGTTTGGTATCTTGAAGCGGTGAAAGCAACATTTCCCAGCAGAGGTTGTTAAAGGGCAGCTGCATTGGAGAGCGTATACAGTTTGTCACCATAAGGCCGGACGTCTTCATTACAATCCAGCCCTAGAGCCCAGCGACAGAGAGAGAAATGCATCACGCCTGCTCTGTCTGTGGGGCTTTTTATAGCAACTGTTTGGTCGACCATCCATACAAACAGCTCCAGATGTTGAAACCGCAGAGGAAAACAGGCCATATGCTTTTATTGTGGTGTGATGTATTGCACCAGCAGCACCGATAAAATAAACTGCCTCAGAGTGTAGAGAAAGAATATTAGAGGTCTGTGCCACAAAGACACTGTCATGCAACCAGAAAAGCATTAGTGTGGTTTAGTGGAGACCGATGGTTAATGAAGCGAGTGCACACCGAACTCTCGTGGCGGGGAAGACAGAAGACACAACTCATTTATATGCGCCTCATATACCAGCCCATCTGATTTAGAGTTTCAGGACTGCAACACAGGCTATGCACTGAGAGCTTCACAAAGTAAGGAGATCAGGGGTTAGATCATATATAATGATGCATGATACTAGAACGCTGCTTTACATACTAGTGATAAAACCCCACAGATAACGTGTTTACCTCCAGAACTGCATTACAGTTCAGTGTGAGAAGTATTTTCCTCTTTGCTTTACAATGTGTAAGTACTGCACAGGCTGGACAATTTTAGGTCACATTTGATTAATGTGGTGACTCTGCTTATTCGTTAAGCACGGCTGCTTTGACAGCTACAGCACAGCAGCAGCTCAACCTTGATGGAAAGCAGTCTTGTTCACTGTAAATTGCATGATTGTGCTTCCCTGGTACATTTACAGTTCATTCAACCTGTTTTTAGTTAAATAGCCCTGAGCAGTAATTAAAAAAAAAAAACACTTTACGATTTTTGCTTATGAAGGCAGAACAAACTGGAAGGACATCACTGTTTGTGTTTACTTACAGAGTTGGGTAATTGTCCTTAACTGAAGTGTTTTTAAAGGATTTTTAAAGTGGAAAACAATTAGTCTATCGAAAGATACATAATCGCTGTGTATGCTGCTAATCGATTAGTCCTCAGGTAATTTAACCCAAGCATTCAAGCATTAAATAATGGGTTGTTTTCTGCACAATATCACATTAAGTACATCATGTCTATGTTTTGGACTGTTGTTCCAACAAAAAGTGGAATTTTAAAGACATAACTTCAGGCTTTTTTATTACATTCCTTAGTCATAACAGCATAGTGAATAAGGATAGAGTCATTACTTGTAACCCTGCATGTTTATAGTCAGATTCTGTATGCAGTTTCAAATGATTGGGTCATATTCTGCAGTTGGAATGACCCAAAAGGAATCTTGCAAATCTTCCAGGAAAGAACTGAAAACAAACATTGATCTAAACATCTTGATTTATCTTCCTAAAAATAGTAATTGGCTACATGTCACGCATTTTGAATTCATAAATAATTTGTCAGAGCGGTTGAGAGATAGTTCTACATTTTCCTACTTTATATTTAGCAAGTGAGCAGATGTGTCCCTCGACTGTGCAGCGTCATTTAAATGTAGCCTCGCCTTCAGCAATATGCTGAGCTTTCTAATCCTTTCATGTACTTGACACAGCGTGGTGCCATTTCCAGGCCCTCGAGTCATCCCCTGCAAGGCCTTAAATACAGAAATGTGTATATGCATGTGTATTTAGACATAAATAAAATAAAGAGAGTGAATTACATTAATCAATTAGGAGAGTGAATTACATTATTCAGTGTGGTATAAAGACTGAGTGCTCATCTTTTGAGCCTAATTAGGACCCTCATGTAAGATATCATGCTTCACTAGCCCAATCCATTTATCCACAGACGTTGCATCATCATATCATATGCTAAAGGACACAAAAGATTGCTGTGCCATTAAGGAGCCTATCATAGCAACAATGCTGCAGGACCACTTTCTCCCAGCCATAGTTTATTTTTCTGTGCGTGTCTATTTCTGCTTCCGGATATCACACCATGTAACATGCAACCAGTTTGTGAAATTATTCCCGCTGATTTAAGTTGGCATCTATCAGATATCTGGTGGCTCCCTGATGCCAAAAACATAGATCATTGTCAGGAAGGTCAAGAGCTCAGTCTATAAATGTGTCCATCACTAATTTACTCCTCTGCCTATCACTCATGTGCATCTGGCATTCAGAGCTCCACTGGCTCTATCTCAGGCTCAGGTATTGACTTTAAAGGTAATGATAGACTTTTTTTGTTGTTTTGACAAATGCTTCAAAAGAATTGAAAACACGATGAGATACTGTTTCCATCTCGCCTCAGTGATCCTTCTTAAACATAACAAGAAAGACGCGGAGGAGCAGCACCTCCAGCTACACACAAACAGGTCGTGTTCAATGCAAGATGTGCTCTGTAGAAACAAAACTGTTCAAGCAGCTGCATCGCGACACCAGCCTGCACACAGACTGAAGGCAGAGTTTATTAATGTGTCGGGGAATGACAGGTGAGGAGGAACCTGCACATCACACATTTAAACACCTTTCAAAACATTCACAACTGAAATGATTTTTTTGTACAGATATGAATGTCTAAGAATCAAAAGGGGAAGGGTGATTGATTAAACATAGTCTAGATCCAGCTTCTCAACTGTGAGGATATTCTGCTTGTCTCTATAGTTTATATCACTAAAAACACATTACTTTTGGGTTTTAGACTCCTAGTTGTCTAAAAAAACACAACAGCTGAAGAAGTGCTTTTGTCTTGCTTTGGCACACATTTTTTATAGATTAAAACATACAATCCTCAGGCTCTGACATTGACATTATTTTACAACGCTTTCTAGACCAAACCTACTTCTGATGAAATGACAAAATCATCAGCAGAATAGTCAATTATTTAAATGACTGCAGCTATGAAACCCCAGAAGAACATTTAAAATGTAGATTTTCTTCCTTGGTTACTCTATGGGCACATGTCTTTCTCCACAGACACAAAAACATTCAGCATATTACTGCGCCGGCACTTTCATTAAAACTTGTTTTTCAATCATCAGCCTTAACATATCTTAGCGATCGGGTTCAAGACACAAATACGCCTCAATACACTGACCAAAGACCGCGCTCAATCACGTATGTGCAAATAAGAACTTGTTCCATAATGTGCTTAACTATTTTTGTTAGTGTGCCCATATTTGGAACCAAACATTTTTACATATTTGGCAATCTAGCACCAAGCAGTGTTTTATTTAAATAAAAAATAACAGTAGAAATAATAAAATTGAAAACATGGAGTAAAATACATTTAAGTCATTATACATAAAGTATACACAAACTACATCATGTATCCTTGAAAATTAAACATCTTTAAAAATGTCCCACAATTCTGTGTCTCTTCAGTTAATGTCTCTATGGATAAAAATGTGATATTTGATCAATTACACTTTTGCCATTGTTGAAGGAAGTTTTGCATTGCTGGAAGCTTGCAGCAAAAATAAAAAAAAATTATGTGTCCTAACATGAACAGGGCCAATCCTGTGAAACCAGTCAGTGTGGTGCTGCTGATGCTGAGCACCTCTCTTTAGGGATGTCATAATATTTAAGCAACATAATATCCACTATCATCACTCTGCAAATTTAAAAAAAAAAGAAAAAAGCTGCTACTCTCAGGCACCATATGTTCCAGGTCGCAGAACAAGTGCACATACAGTAAGTGAAACTGATATCAATTTTCAGGGAGTAAAACTATATTTGCTGGAGTGCTCTGCAGACAGCTGCTGCACCTGCACGCACAAATGGCTATCCATCATCCTGTATGGGGCCCCAGCTGTCCTCAGCTTTAAGAATGGAGATGTCACGTTACAATCTCCACATCATCCAGCCAATCTAACTCCTCTCCCTCTGTTCTCTCTGCCATTGTGTCAAAGACAAGAGCTTTATTTGAAAAACACTGCTTGGCAAATTGGTGGGACCGGAAATATCTGATGGTCGCAAAAGGAAGTTATGCTGAGTCGGCTTAAATGCCACAAAAGGTTTCGCTTATTTAATCTCTTTGAGGAAGGAAAAAAAAAAGGACGTGCAATGAGAGGATGTACAGGAGGGCACCTGCTAAGACAGAAGTGCTCGTCTCAGAGCTACAGAAACATATTGTCAGATTCTGACCACATGGAGAAATGAGTTTTTTAAAGCAGGTCCACAGATGATGTCAGGATTTCCCTCTTAGATACTGTGGAAGAGAGCTGGCTCGTCTCTAACACAGACAGCTTCTCGTGAATGTGTAGGAGGCAGGTTGAAGACATAAACTGAGATATTGTATTTCAGATTGATTTTCTAAAGTCAATAAAACTTACACAACAAATCAGTGAAAGTGAAAGAAACATATTGGAAAAACAATATCCTGGATTAGCCAATACATCAGAGACTGATTTCATGATATTAATCCAAATACAGTTTGACTGTGCGTCATCTATTTTTACTGTACATGTAAATATATAATTTATCCACTATATAATAAAAGGACAATTCATTTTACAATGTTTAGCTTAAGTGCCAGCTAATGATCTTTTTTCTCACTTTAGATAATGAAAAAAAGGGTCAGTGACATGTTTATTTGCTTGTCTTGTCTGATCTACAGTTTACAATCAGATGCGAAACGGAAGAGCTGAATATCTTTGAAAGCTTCATTTCACAGATGTTTTTGTGCATTTTTCAGCCACAAAAGATAAATCAAGGCCAATGAGCAGTAGTCATAGAGTTAGTATTGAAATATCACATTCCTCACTACATTGCTATTCATATTAAATGCACTCTCAGTCTGTCGGGTACACATTATTTAAGTTAATGCAGTACATCCAACTTCACCTATATGAACAGTTCAACGGCACCACAAAATAAAACAATCTCTACTGACCAGAACGTTAAATCAGCACTTCCTCACTGTGGAAGTGCCTTATTATCTGCAGGAGCAACTCCACTGGTTGTGAAATAGTATTCAGAATATACAGAAGTCTCAGAGTAATTGACTCTACTTCTCACTTGATAAATGACCTCGGTAAATGTTTTCCTAGTAAGCCAAAAGTCTCAAACATGAGTCTTTGTCACTACAGCATGATATTCATCAGTAAATTACGGTCTCAATTAGAGTGATCTACATGATAGGGAATGCTTTTGTGCCTGACTAGCTTGTAATCGATCAGTTGCCTTTAATAGAGACGGAAACAGAGCACTGCTTATTCACTTTCTTTAAAATATGGTGAATAAAGACAAAGTGATAACTTGTCTGTATAGTCCACAATGAAATGACACAATGGCTTTGCAAAATACTTTTATGCAGACTATTGCACATCATACCTTTTTTCAATTCTAAGCAGACCTAAGTGTACAGTGTGTGCACATGTCAGATCAACATATAGGCCTTCACTTAAATTGTGTAAAACTTAGTTGACATTGTGGTCAGTTATTTGCCAGTCCAGTTTAACTTGACAGACATTCAAGACAGCGGTGTATGAATGGTATTAGTTAATACTGATGAACACTTTTACATAACAGCCTCTGCCATCATGGTGTGAATGTGTAGGTGTGAACTGCTGTGCTAAAGCACTTTGTCTATTCAGAAGACTTGAAAAGCGCTATACAAGCTCAAGCCCATTGACCATTATCAATTTTAAGTTGCCTCAAAGAACATACTTTTGTTTCGCTTTTAAAGGATATCTTTCTTTTACAAAAAGCAAAGCTAGCTATTTCATCTAATACGCACCCACCCACAGACAAACACAACATACTTCTCCAGTTCTTCCATTGACTGTTACACAGAAACAATAAATCCCCCTCTCTCTTCCATCGCAGCGCTCAAACAAATGTGCACGTTTAATTATGGCTGCTCTTACTGCATTATCAGGACACGATGATTTATGACTGAAACGTAACTTGGAATGCAGATACCATACATTTCTTTTCAACCCTATAGAACAATGATCACAGTAGCAACGCTGCATCTCAACAAAAAAAAGTGGCACAGAGCCAACAATGCATGCTAACGAGGAGGTTTTCTCAAGGGTTTGCGATTGGAACTTAATAAACCGTTTGAGAGAGTCGTTTGTACTCGACTCACAAAAATCCAAGAAAATGGAAGAATATGAGTTAATTGGCATTCGTACATATGAAGCCACAGGCTTTTTTTTATTTTTTTTTACAAGCGATGTATTTTGAGAGGATCCTTCACCACACTGAGGAAAGACACTCACTGTTTGCTTTTGAATTAATTTTTCTGTTCCAGGTGTTTATTTGGGAAATAAAAGCTTCTGATTCATCTTGCCACATAAATGCAGAAGATACTTCAAGAGTCTTGCTCTTATCGTTGTTGCTGCCAACTGCCGATTACATATTTTCAGGCATACTCAGAAGCTTTTAGTCAACAATATTCAGCCCTGTTAATGAATTGAAGCTATATATGTATATCTATTTATTTTTTAATCAGTGAACCACATCTTTCTGTTCCTGCAGCAAGCACACATCACCAGGAGTGAAGCCTCCCTACTCGATAGCCTCATTCTGCTCTTCAGCGTCACCTCCTCCGGGAATAATCGTGAAACACCTACAACCAGCCAAGAGAGGTGACAGCGTTTGCTCTACCACCACCCCCAGTCTGACAGCCATGATTCGGGGAGGCCTTCTTCTACGACGGCTTGGATCAGGGGTCAACTCACTGCTCGATGGCTAGATCTCACCGTACAAAGAGCTGGGGGCCTTTCTACTGAAGTAAGTCCCTCTGCAGCTCTGGTTCTATAATTCAAGTGTGCAACGTTTCTGTGCTGCACTCGTTTTGTCGAGTTGAGTGGCAGTCATGTCTGATTAAAACTGAGTGGAACTGGTTTATGTAAATGAAGCTCTACTTGTTTGTCTGCCTGCATTAAAGTCACATGACTTTAAAGCATGTGGAAGTCAATGGTAGTGTAAAATACCACTCAGGTTGTGTTGTGGCATTCTCTCCTGCTGGGTTTCTTCCTGACAAGACATCAGATATGGTAACCGAGTCCATTCCTGGGAGCCCTGGATTGGATTTTGAAACATTTATTAGGATACCTGGGCTCTCACCTCTGCTAATGAATTATTCATTAAAGCTTAATGGTCTCTGGTTTTCTCCCTAGATTGCTCAGCGGGGATTTTTTTTTCACCAAGCACAGTTGGGTTTAGATGAGGAACATTTCAATGAAAAATCTATTTCTCTCCATTGTCTATAAGAGAAAAGGACAAACTATAATGAAAATAGGCTTCCTGCTAACAATGCTAGCGTGAGTCTGCTGTACAGGTTTTTGCTGCAGCGAGTCGGTCACATCATTAAGCAATGTTTTTCCTCCACAGTCTAACTGGCTTTTCTCCGTTGCAGTATCCCTCACTGCGTAGTAGCACATGGATTTCAAGACTTCAAATGAAGAGGTTGGTAGGATTCAATCAATGTAACGTTTTGACAGTGGATTGATTTTGATTGTGGAAACAGCCTTTGCATTTCTGAGTGCCTGAAAGCATGCAGCTAGAAACTGTTGTCACTGAAAACCGTTCCACTCAGCTGGATATGTAGAACTCAGAGGACTGAAACATTGACAGCTGATGAATATACTGTACATCAAAATACAAGTTAAAAAGTAGCAACATGTGTGCAGCACAGCTGTTGTGCTCTCACCACCACTGAGGCGAGGAGAGAGAGACACCGACATAAGTCACGTCGAAGCCAGTTATGTGCAAGCTAACCCTGATTGGTTGTTACATTCAGACCAGATGATTTCCTTTAGTGAAAAAACTAAATTCAAAGGGGCGATGCTCACAGACACAGATCAGACACACAGCCGTTTAAAGGATCAATTCAATAATGTGTCTTGCAAAGATCAACATTTTAACCAAACAGTCTTATGATTAATATTTCATACTGTAGCTTTAAAATGACTAGAATCTACTGTATGAACTCAACCTGTATCATATCCTCAATAACACATGAAGATGGTGATGATGGATCTCCTGATACAAAAATGTGTTTTTTATTATAGAGACTGGGGTCAAACAAGATATGGATCGTCCGCATGTTAGCTCATGAAAACTTCTTAATGCTGCAATATTTTTTCTTTTTTGCTGTTGCCCCTTCACGTGAAGCAGGTGTTCAAGTCATTAACAGAGAAAAGTGATCAGGAAATCCTCATTATTTGTTGATAATTAAAAGTATATTCAGAACCTTATAAATCATGACGTACTGTATTTTCTCTCTCTTCTATTGGAGCACATTAGCTGCTTTAACCACTAAATGTGTGAACCTGGCCTTCGTATTTTTTGGTATGCGCTCAAAGCCAAATTTTGTGGTACCTCCCACCACTACTTCAAAGTTAACCTGAAGTCCTCAGCATGAGCTCAATAACTGTGCTTCTGTCCAATATTGTGCAGAAGTGGACGACACCATTACCACCTTTTTTTATGGGGGAATACAACAAAAAAATCAACACAATTTAATTAATGGTGAGAGTATACTTTTAATGCTAAAAACATAAAACGCATTTTCATTTTTAGAGTTAATACATACTCTTTCTACTAGTCTGTTTGAGGGCCCTCCTAATGTTGAGCTTCTTGTTCTTAGTTTCACTCCTCCCCTTACTATACCGCCGCTGGGTTAGAAAGAGATGTCCTTGTTGCATATCTGCTCTGATCAAGATGCAGATAATAATAGAGGGCTGATTGCAAGGGGGAGTAATAGAGAAACAGAATGAGAGATAAGGCTAATTATGTACAATGTGAGCGCTACAACAGGCCAAACAATACCCAACCGAGTAAGACACTATGTGACCCAGCTACGCATACTTCAGGCCCTACTGCCCTCATTCTGCTCGGCTAATGACTCTCACACACATTACTTCAAATAATGGGAATTAATATGTCGCCCATTTCATTTTTCATGCTGCAGCTGCAGGCAGGGGAACGCTTCTCCACGTTCCTCATTATGTGTGAAAGATAATATGCTCCACACTGACTTTGGTTCAAGTTTGACCTGCAGTTTAGAAACCTCCCTCTTAGAGCATCAACAGTGCGTGGCGAGTGTGTTGTTAACTGACAGGCGATGTATCCCCCATGACGAGGATGCTGACATCATCGTCTGTTTTCTATTAGCAGTCTTGTCAGGTGAAGGTGCTTCTTTTATTTAGACCTTTTTAAGTCAAGGACAAGACAGGCATCGCAATTAGCCAGGGAGGAGGAGGGCTACGCGGAATGCAAATTTATGCGGATTAGCATGTTTTAAATGGATCATTGGGAGCAGACGCAGTCCTCACAGCCGCTTGTGGAAATTCAAATGTAGAGGGCGAGCTTGGTTCCAGACTTTTAATTTCACAGGTTCCTAATTGTCATCATCATCATCATCACCATCAGCATCAGCAGCAGAGAAAGTAAATGTGATGCAATCATGAATGTTTTAACTTCGGCTTTGATGTATACAAAGCATATAGCAAGCATAAAAAAAATCATCACAGCACATAAACACTGCTTTTTAAAGTCAGCTCTTAATCAAAATGTTCCATTTTTTTTTATGTGTATAGAATAGAATAGAATAGAATTACTTTATTGATCCCAAACTGGGATTTTGACAATTTCCCAGTTTGGGATCAATAAAGTAATTCTATTCTATTCTATTCTATGTATTCAATCCTGCTCCAACATTTGCATTAACAGTGAGAAAAGATTTGAAAATAAGATTTTTTTTTGACAAAGCTAAAGCTCTGAATCCTGATTTCTATGTTCATTCTGCACTGAGTAGTCTCAATAATTTTCAATTTCATGGCCAGTTGATTTAGTCATGGTGGCATGATGAATGATTTTATATTTCTGACTGTTCGCAGACAAAGACTGGGATTTATTTGATGCAAGAAGGTAATGAAGAGCCATTCAATATTCGACTACACTTGGCCAAAGATATTCTGACAATTCAAGAACAAGACGTCATCTGCGTGTCAGGAGAGCCTTTTTATTCAAGTGTAAGTAACACAGTCCATTTCACAATTACTCAATACTGACACTGCACTCTGAAATCTCCTGTGTTAATATCAGGAATATGAACTACACAATAAATTAAGGTCAGTCAGTCTTTTAATCTGCACCTCATAAATCAAACGTAGCTGTTAAAAAGTAATTCACCTTCTGGATCCTTGTGCACAGAGTTTTTCACCGTTTCTCATAAATACTCTTCACTGAAGCCCAGTCCTATGACCTTTCCCAAACAGGCATTATTATAAGGATAACATTTAGCAGGTTAACTCTTTAGAGACAAATACAGAAGTGCTTGTTCTGTATGAAACATATAAAAGTAATAACAGAGAGGATGACGAGGAAGACGTGTGTATGCCAATTCAACCTCAGCATGTCAGAAAGTCCTTAGGCAGACTTTTGTGCCTCAGTTAGAAATGTAAAATGTCCATTTAAGAAAAGTGTTGGAAAGCGTGATCCAGAAGGCTACTAGCCCAGTGTAAGACACAAAGACTGGAAGCAGGTAGAAACTATACTATACTAATTACCACCCATTAACATTATTCTACTATAATTAAATTATAATCACCTGAACTAAATTGATGAAGCATAAGTCATGCAAATTGTACTCCAAGGGCTGAACATACAAGTTTAACAGATATCTGTTAAATTCCTAGACAAAATGAGCACACACTAGAAGAAAAAAAGTCTATGTGTATTCAAAGTTTTCTCTTAAAGATATCCATCCTCTGCCCCCCCCCCCCCCCCCATCCCCCTCCTCAGAATCATCTTAGTACTGAACAAAGCAACTCCTCCCTTCTTTTCCTTTTGATTCAAGAGCTCCCTCAGGTTCATCCTCAGTCTGAACTCATTTCTTGTTTTTGAACTGAATCTCTTGCAGGAGAGGACTGTAACGATCAGGAGGCAGACTATTGGAGGGTTCGGCCTGAGCATCAAGGTAATTTAGATCCCAGCCTGATTAGACTGCTCCTCCCAAATACTTTAAATTAACTCTGAACAAGTGTTATTGATCGTTTCCCTCCGAAAACAGTGCTGGCTGGGGGACTTACAGAAAATTCAGTGTCTTTTTGAGTGCCGTTTGACTCACTCTGTGTTTGTGAAACCTTTTCTTATTCAATTGAACTTGATTTGTCTCCTCAGGGTGGAGCTGAGCATAAAATCCCTGTTGTGATTTCAAAAATATCAAAGGAACAAAAAGGTAGGTAGTTATTTCTGGTTAAGATTTACATCTCATCCTATTTTACTCTTCAAGTGACTGCAGTGATTTTCTGTTTGCAGCTGAACTCTCCGGGCTGCTTTTCATTGGAGACGGCATCCTTCAGGTGAAATGCAAAAGAAAAAAAAAACATTATGCCTGTTTACACACCTCATCCTGCTGCAAAAGAACGCGCAGAGTATCTTTAATAATTCATGTGCTTCATGTCCACAAAACTGTAAAAAAAAAAAAAGAAAAAGAAAAAAGTATGCATCCCTGTGTATGAATGCTACATCCGGGGTTCTTTATTTGCTCGAGTACTGCCAGAAAAAAAAGTCTCCCCAATCTCATTTCTCTCAGCTCATATGATGCAGAAGCAACATTTACAAGCCAGCCAAAGGCACTCTGTATTCATGGCAACTGTGGATGAGATTTGCTTGTTTACAGACTTCAGCACAGATGCTGTAACAGTTATTGTTGCTTGCCTCATTAATCATGTTGAAGATAGAGCTGGAGTGATATGATAGTAGCGGTATTGTCTAGCCTAACCCTTTTACTGCTGTTGTTTCTAGATAAATGGAATAAACGTTAGAAGTTATCGCCACGAGGAAGTGGTAAGCTGTCAGCTCATATCTCATATTTTTTCATACATTGTAACAGCACTCTCAGCAGGCTTATCTGGTCTCATTTTATGATTTCTATCTTTTTGACATGATGTTTCTTTCTCATCCTCCTTTTCTTTTTAAAACTGCAAAAATAAGCATGAAAGCAGGATAACTTCTGTCTGTGGAAATCTCTTGTGTTGTTTTTTTCATTCTGACTTAGACATTTGCACTCCATGTTTTATCACAGCAAGCTATCTGCAAAACATTTTTTTTTTTTTGTAGCTCCTGCTCTGAAAATGTTTCCTGCGTTTTTACCTCACAGGTCCAGGTTTTAAGAAATGCAGGTGAAGAGGTGACTCTTACCATCTCTTTCCTGAAGAAGACTCCAGCCTTTCTGAAACTGCCCCTGTGTGAGGACTGCACTTGTAAGACACCTCTTTAATTCAAGTATATTACAACCACAACAGCAGGGCAAAGTAATTAAGTGAGAGTATTTATAGCTGGTATTATTTTCTGTCAAGGATTGGTTGTCCTGGTGACGATTAACTCGAGCCTGAAGAGCCACTTTGAGTAAAAAAAAAAAAAAAAAGAATTCCGTCGCTTCACATTTTGGACTCTTGACAAGCACTAAAATAAGCGGCTCAGTTAAAGGGAAGGGAGGAATAAAGGAAAAGGACACATCTCAAGCTCCTCTAAGATGCTTGACTGAAATAATTGACGTTTCTCATTGTGGTTCAATTGACTGCTCTTGCATGGGAACGCTTCAGCCCGTCATCAAACATGAAAGCTTTTTATCAAATCCTTTCATACAGGTATATAGGCCAGGTCGACTGGCCATGCAACCACTAGGCTGAATACAAATTGGCACAGAGAGCAAACATTGTTGGAGAACAAAGTAACACACTTTTTGTTGATAGCGGTGATTCACTACAGTTGGAAACCTTGAAATAGATGGAAGTGTTACTTAATGTTATTGGCTTTTTGTGTGTGCACTTTCAGGCATCCCTAGTGACCAGAGTAGTGGCACTTCCTCTCCTTTGTGCGATAGCGGCCTGCACTTGAACTACCATCCAAACAACACGGTACTTTTCTCATCATACTTCTTTGACTTGCTGATTCTATTACTGTCAATCTGTAAACATGCAGTAGCTCATTTCCTGGTGCCACAGAGTTGTTTCCATGCAACTGTCACTGCTGGCTGATAACCTGGATGCTCTATCTTTATCTTTTGAGGCAAGAGTGAATCAGCTTTTCCCTGCAGCTCCTGCTCGCTCAGCCTGCCTATGCACCTGCGGCAAAAACAGCAGCAGCGGCAGTGGCAGAAGCAGGACTGGAGCTCTTCACATGTCAACTGGTTGAAATGTGCAAGGTGTGAAACGACAAGCCTTTCTAAATTGTGTTTCACACTTCTACAGGACACGCTGTCCTGCTCGTCTTGGCCCACATCCCCCGGGCTGCGCTGGGAGAAGAGATGGGTGGACCTGCGCCTCATTCCGCTTCTTCACTCGCGTCTCTCGCAGTACATGCCAGGCTCTGACGCCTGTAGGTGAGCTGTGGGACCTTGTGGGGAAGGTTCAGGTTGGTGGCAGTTCTCAGCCGCAGAGCTGCAAATCACCCTCTAAGGCACTACAGGACAGGAGTGCTCGGATCGTTCCAAATTCTACAAAAAGGAGCAGATTGCCTTCATCCGTTCAAATTCTGCTATTGAGTATATCCCTTTTACACCCAAATAAATAAGCAAAATAGGCATGTGGATCAGACTTAGGATAGACCTTCCAGAAAATGGTTTAGTGAAATAATACATCATTAGGATGATTATTAATGCATTTCTTAGATCGGAACATTGTGAATGATAGAACCGTCATCTTGATTGACTCTGTTTTAGTCCACTCTCTGTAAAGTTGCATAAGAATGTCATTTTTAGGTTCATAGCCATGAATTTGGAAATTGCTTCAGTTTGTTTAAAGGAAGAATGTGCGACTTTTTAATCCAGTAGATGTCCCCTGTAGCACCAGCATGAAACCAAAACAAACTGCTGTTTAGCGGCACCGCCACTATTCTGAAGCCTCCGCTCTCTTCCAGCGGCACACCTCCAACCCCTCTCCACACACGATCACACGAAGGAGTTATCAATTCGATAGCGCTGTAATTAAGCATCATTAAGCACACGCAGTTGACAAAATTGTCTTTTGCTCGAGCTGCAATCGCCTGTGGCCTGCATTGTTGTGTTAGCAGGCTAATGTTAGCACACTTTGGTTAACTTGTAGCTTCACATTGCACATAAATGGAATGACAAAGATCTAAAGACACTTACGTGACATCCACATAAGCAGTGAGTATGTTATTCTTCTTGTCTCTAGTCCTTGACTAAAACAGCTTTTATACGCAAGGCTGACTGCATGTAAACATGATAAACACAGCCCGACAGTAATCCAGCTGGTGGGACTCATACTTCTCACTCATTGTAGACAGTCATGACTCACAGAGACATTTACACAGGATATACTCGATTTCTGTTGTATTTATGTGTAATGTGTTGCACATTCTTCCTTTAAAGGCGATTTTTCACACTTAAATGTAGCAGAAATCAAGTATATCCTCTGAAATAACTCTGTGAGTCATGACTGTGACACCCGAGTCCCGCTGTCTGTGATGCTTTCTGAGCGTTCCGAGTCCTATCTTCACTTTGTTTACATCGCCGGGACGGCCGGCCAGCTCATCCCCTGGCGTATACAAGTTGTTTAATTGAGGGACTAGAGAAAAGAAGAATAACATACTGTACTCACTGCTAAACTGGGTTTTCTAGAACACGGTCATTTCGGGTAAAATTACATGCAGTGTGAAGATACGAGCATAATAAAGATCGCTAGCATTAGCATGCTAACACAACAATGCAGCGCAAGTTGTTTTTGTTTCATGCGGGTGCTCAAGGGCGACATCTGCTGGATCAAAAAATCACATATTCTGCCTTTAAGAAATGAAGATTAACTTGGTCAGTAAAACAAAATGGGTTTCTTTATTTTTTAGGTCATGAAATTGTGACTATAATGCACACTTAGAAAAAAAAAAAAGTGCATTCAGAGGGGCTACGATCAAATATTTTTATAATACCAATATCTCAAATAATATGACAGTGGACAGGGGTTGCTAACAGTGAAAAAGTACAGACGATTATCGAGGGAATCTGCAGCATCTCTCAGCTTCATGAAGCATTACAATGAATTTAATGCCCTTGTATACTGTATCTGTCATGACCACAATTTGACAGTTTTGTTTCCCTCCAACAGCTGTCCTCGAGTCATGTTCAGATGTAGCAGGCATCTGTTCTCACTGAAATAGTTCCCAGCACCCACTATTCAATACCTGTTCAGCAAAAAAGCAGCAGACAGTTAGCAGGCAGTTAGCAATGAGCTTGTAAACAAAGTGAAGCATTTAATGACAGACGAGCTGGATGCTTTCTCAGGAGTTAGTAGAGACCAAAAACAGAGGTAAATGAAGGTATATATTTAATTGCGTTCATCAGCTGAACACTAACATGATTATGTTTTCCAGTAACTGCTAGAACAAACAGGCATTTTGTTTGCCAGCATGCTTGCCATATCAACTTAAAAGGTGTGTATTCATGTACACAGCTTATTTCCGTCTCCCCAAAGTTGTTGTAGATTTAAAGGAATTGTTTTGGAAAATGTGGCTTTTATTCAGCAGAGTTGAGTGAGAAGAGTTGCGTTGAAATTGTCTGGATGGAAATGAAATATCTGCCTAGAGTTTTGCATGCTGGGTTAAAATGAAATGGAATAACTTGAGGACATATTGAGAGAAATGCTCTGGTCCTTGCCAGTTGTTTTTCATCTCTTACTGAGATCAAAAGAAACAAAAGGTTTCCTTGAATGTTGTAGATCGATCAAAAGAATTAGGGACTGAACGTGAGTTATGGTTAATAGGCCGGAAATTTAAAATAGCCTTGTGTTCTTTTTTTTTTTTTGCATCTCTCAGGAAGAATGCTTTCCAGGTAATAGCTGTGGATGGAGTTTGCAGTGGAGTTATACAGTTTCACGCTTCTGAAGACTGCTTGGACTGGCTTCAGGCAATAGCAGGCAACATTTCCGGACTCACCAAGCACAATGTGAGTATGAAACAATAACACTTGTTAGCTCTGCCCCCTCTCATAATCCCCTATGTAAACCAGAAAGATATTGGGTCGGGCTTTTATACAACAGACTTTTCAATTTGTGGATAGTCTAACAGTCCCTTTGCAAATGTCACGGCATTAAGTAGACACCTACTAATGTCTTTTCACACTATGAGTGGAGTACACACTTTTTTTAAGAGCCTAAGGTCACAATAACAGCAACTGCGCTGTTCTTTATTTACTGCCTTTAGTGAAACCCATGCACTTATCTATTATTAAGCATAATATATTATTTAATAATAACAAGAGGCTAAATGAAAAACAGCAACAACAATACTGTATATTTCTTCTTGTTGTGTGCATATTTTCCCAGCAGTAAAAAAAACAAAGTGTGTTTCTGTGTTTTGAGATTTGATTTTATGCTCGGCAGGGGGGAGCAAATAGAAATATAGCTAGCAAGCACCGTCATGTGCGGTGACTCATATGCCCTTACAGAGAATGTCTCATTTTGAAACATTAAGGTGTGTTTGAATGCAGTAAACTACATGTTACATTTCTACAGTCTGCTGTCAGAAAATAGAACCAGACAGTGATTGCTGGTTCTTAACGCGACATGAATATGACATAGAGTGAGCAGTAGGGAAAAACAGGGTTTTTCTAATTATCCTTTGTCCATTGCCGTGGCTCAGTGTGTGTGTGTGTGCGTGTGTGTGTGTGTGTGTGTGTGTGTGTGTGTGTGTGTGTGTGTGTGTGTGTGTGTGTGTGTGTGTGTGTGTGTGACCAATGGCTGCCTGTGTGAGAGTCTCCGGGTAATAATAGAGCCCTGGTTAATTGGAGTGGACTAAGTGAGGGGCATATTAAACATAACACTGATCACTCTCTGCCTGAATGCCATCAACAGTAGAGAGTGTGTTACTCGCTCGAGCATATGGGGAGAAGTGTGTGAATGTGATGCATGAAGGATCCAAAGATTTCTGCTGAAGGAATAGAAGGGTATGCTGGCTGTTAAATGCATTATGGTATACTACAAAAGACAAAGTTTGGAGGTAGTCATTGTTAGCAGTGAGAAGAGAACAGCATCGCATTGGGAAACAATCTGCACAAGCTTGTGTTGAACAAGCTAATCGCTCTAAATCAATTCAAATCTCTTTTGGCTGACATAGTGTGAATGCATGTTTTCTTTGAATTGATGTTTTCCCTCGTGTCTTGTGCTTGTTTTTTGTACACTTAAGCTAATGCATTACTGAAACCTTTGTGTACTTTTATCCTGTCTGTTTACAAGAGGGCTTGCGCTCTCAAGTCCCTTCTTGATGAAGGTTTTTTCCAAATTCTAAGTAAAAGCACATTTTCTGATTAAAATTTGTCTTTCTTTCAGTGATAGAAATTAATTTGAAACATCAAAAGAAACATCAAGTTCCAGCCATGGCTTTGGGAGGTAACACTTAGGCTCAGTGGTGCTTTGAGCTTAATGCTAACGCTAACAAGCCCACAATGACTCATTGTGTTTATCAGGAATAACGTCTACCATGTTCATCATCTTAGTTTAGCGGCATTTGCTATGTGGCACCAAACACAAAGTAAGGCTGAAGCTAATAGTGATGTATTTTGATTTTTTTGTTAAGTATTTAGTGAAAGACTAAATTGTTAATCAGACAGACATTTCAACCTTCTAATTGGTTTACATGAAAATTTAAAGTATCACTGAATCAGAACTGATCATGAGAAAGACATGAATGTCCAATATAGGTTTCATGGTAATCCGGACAACAGTCCCTCAAATTCAAAATGGCATTTAAAGAAAAGTCAGAGGACATCTCAGAAGGATTAATGATCAGTGATCATGAAAAAATTCAGGCATTGATACACAGTCCATGTGAAAACTTGCTCATGGCGCAAAGTGTTGGATCAAAAGGCAGACATATCATTTTAAATGGAAAGATATTCATATTGCTATTTTTTGCATTCTTTCAGACAAAACATGTGTTTTGCTTATTTCTTTGTAGTATTACTTATTTGTAGTGTGTGTATGCGTTTTCCATTTTCATTTTACTGCTGCACAGCTGGCTGCCCCTCAGGGACCAATAATGGGATTTATTGATTGTTAAATCATGCTGAGGATCAGCTACAGTCCCACAAAAACCTTAACACAAACAATAAACCTCTAGGCTGGAGAATGTATTTGAAGAACTTGTGTTTATGAATTTTTCTGTTTTTGAAAGTCAAAATAAATATTCAAATAGAGACCTTTTTCAAGAAATGCAAATTACAGGGCCCCACTTTTTAAGACAGGAAACTTTGCAAATGAGATGTAGAAGCTGTCAAAAAAAAGCACAAACACCTAAAAATATATGGATATGAAAGATCTTATTCAGAGTCGGGTCATCTTTTGCTTTCAGAGCAGCCTCAGCTCTTCATGGATCTCTGTGATACAAACTGTGCTTTTGGTAGTCAAATGTGAAGGTGAAAAATGTCTCCAATTCTCAAAGCGATGATGCTGGAGGAAATCTGTTCTGTGCGTGCCACTTATATAAAATGTGTTAGTAAAAAATCAATAGATAAAATAAGGAATGTTCAGTATACCATGAAATAAAAATCATATACATTTATTGTTGTACATTATTTCCTGTGCAATACCACAGAAATGCGGCGTATATGTAGAGCTGCACACATGACAGGAAAATGCTTTGTAGCAGAAATGCTTTTAAATCTGTTTTTTGAGATGTACCTCTTTAAGTAAAATTATGTCTGTTTTTAAGCATTTTAATAAGCTATTTATAATTTATTTAATGTTCTAGTTTGCTTTGAAATTTCTATTGTCCTTCACTATCTTGCACAATTGAAGATGAACATGTGCATCCAGTGCAAATAGCAGATCTGATAGAATACCAAATGAGTGTCTGCAGTGCATTAAGTTCTGTATAGTTCTACAGCAATGCGAGTGAGGATGGAGGTACTTACATGTTACAATAAGCTGCAGCTGTATCACTGATGTAAAGGAGTAGAGGAAAGTTCACACACAGAACAACCATCATGATAACTTTATATATATAAAGATCATTGTAACTCAACTGGATGTCAATTTCAGGCAATCAAAATCAGCTTCTCTCTAAAAACATACAATTATGAAACACTTACTTTGTGGAAGGTCTACACTATAATCACTCATCCCCACCTTTCGAACCCTTATACAATAAAATATATGACTGTAAATTACACAAAAGTTAACATGTAGTGTTCCTCTGATTTAAAGCCCTATCGCCTTTGACTGGACTGCACTTAAGATGTTTTAATGGACCTTACTGATGTTCAATTTGGCAATTACTACGACAACATGGAATTGATGTTGAGTCATACCAAAGTATAAATACAAATTTTATTTAATAAAAGAGGATTTGATAAAGTATTTAAGTATTTATGTATGTTTTAGTTTAGGAAGAGTAAGGTAGTTTGGTTCTGGGTATATACTGGGTATATAAAAAACTCATCTGGATCCACACATCTTGTCCAAGTTAGGTTAGACCCTCAGTCACTGCCCACAGCGTGAATCTGAAGCCAGCACACATCCTGACAGTTATCTGGTATTTTCCTCTCAGCCTCTGCACTGAGAGAACATTGTGTTCTCTCCATCTGAAACAAACTCCGTAAACAGCTGTGACTTGTATTGCAGAGGATCAGGTACAGACATCCTAATTTTGGGAATTCTTTGCTAAGAACAATTTATTTTGATGATATGGTGTGGATTAGGAGCCAGCGATACCTTGTGACGTGAGCACAAGGTTTTAATTTAAAGCCTGACTGCTCTCTCTGTAGTTCCATTTGCTTTTATTATCACACACGCAGAATGGACTCTTTTAAATGGATTTTTTTTTAAAGAAGAGCCCCAGGTCTTTGTTGAAAATGACTCTATCTCATTTTCTAATTTGCTGGCATTGAATAAATGAAGCAACAATATTCCTTTGGTGCTGTGGTTAACATGTTAGCATGGATACTGGGATTCATAGTTTATGCATTCCTTGATGGATGCTCTCTGGTTCACTACAGGGTCAAACAATGATAATAAACTCTACAGTAATTAGTGTGTCATTGTTAGCAAGAGACAATTTAACGAGTTATTGATGTTCTCGTTGAATTTAACAGGTCAAGAAGATTAACCGGAACTTCCCAGTTAACCAGCAGGTAAGATGTTTTTTTCCTCATTTTCTTTTTGCTTTGACTTTAATTTATGTATTTTGTGGCAATCTTAAAAATCAAAAGGTAAGTGTAACCAGGTCAGTCAGTCAGAGAAAGGACACGTCCATGTCTTGCCAACTATTGCAACACAAGCAGAGTTTTTGCATCATTAAAGTCCGCTGAGAAATGATCAGAAAAACAACTTCAGTCATTAAACTGGCCGTGTCATCTTTCAGTCTAAACATGTGGAGCTAATGTGACTGCAGGGTTCCCTTTTTTCTTACATATTTATCTGGGTTTCTACTTGCCCCGAATCTTTCACTTGCTTGTTTTGCCATCAGTCAAAAAACTGAAAAACAAGCGAACATTTTAGTTGGGCTACAATCACCCTGAGTTTAATGAGCGCTGATGTTGAGATTCAGTTGATGTCTTAAATCTCAGAGCATTTGAAGTTGACGCTTTGCCTTCTTTCTCTTCACCTCCCTGCTGGCTTAATCTCTTTTTTTTCCTGAATACTGAACAGCCAAAATGTTAATACAGTTTGACTTCATGGAGGGGATGGAAAAATGACGATAATTATTGGGAAACAACACGATTTTGCATGATGTTTTAGCTACATGTACCTCTGTTTTCACGAGACCATTGTGGGCAATTTTACAAATCAATGAACATCAGAGCTGAATGATAAAACTGGATTTTTCGCATTGCATTTTTGTGTAGAGATCTACCACAGTTGGTGAATCCAAAACAGACTTGGACGCATACTTTATCTTTAAAATCCCCTGACAGCTTTGATTCAAATTTCAAAAATGTAGTCTGGACTAAATAAGCAACAATTAAACTTCAAATCAGGGGAAACAAAAACTTCCTTAGATATTAAGAGTTTAATGCCGTGGTTTCGATCAAACTGGATTGACATTTGCTTTGGAATGTAAGCTAACAACTTCACAATTAGCACAACTTTTTTATACTGAGACTGATTTTGACTTTGAGCACTGCCAAGAACATAAATGAAGGAATATAGGATGTTAAATACTGCAAAATCTGATTTCAATGTCGTGCTGATGAATATGAACGCCAGCATCCTAGATACCTTGGCTTCACAGCCTTAAACAGTTGAATTAAGAGAAAAATACAATATCCATCTATCACCAATAAGGACTATGTAGTGGGTGGGGGGGCTGGAGCCAATCCCAGATGTTATAGAGGCAGTGCACACCCTTCACAATTTGCCAGTCACTCACAGGGAAATATTCCTACATTGACTAAATATCACATTTTTGCTTTTTTTAATATCATCTATCCCCACTGTCTCCCAAGATCCCTGCTCTTACAGACCACATCCCTCATGTTTACATCTGTCTGTCCACTGTTCAATAGATTATCTATATGGGCTGGGTCGATGAGAAGGAGCAGGACTCAGTTCAGGACCGAATGTATTCACCAAAGTTCCTCGCTTTGAGGGGTTCGTCACTCTTCAAGTTTTCAGCACCTCCTGTAAGTTTAGATTCAGTTTCGTACTTCTGTTAACCATTGAACTTCTGTGTTTGAGCTGTCATTCAACTCTGCGGGAGATTTTTCATCTGATGTTAATGTTTTATCGAGGGATAAAATGCTTTCCTGTTAGAAAAAAAAAGGACGCAGCTCACTCATAATCATTTGTGCTGCATTGATCTTCCTCTTGATTGATGATGATCATTAAATCTGTTTACATTCTGCCAGCCACTTAAGTGATTATGACAAGAGGGATAAGCTGTCGATGGTACTGGGGATGAGAAAAGATTGATAGATAACTGAAATTGCCCGCTCAACTTGAATATGCTGATATAAATGGAATATGCTAATTAGAGTGGATGGTGTAATATAGCAGCCTGCTTGTTCAGACGATGTGACAAACCTCTTCATCACTGAACACTACAGTTCCCTATGAGACTTATTCTTTCTCATGCAGCAAGATGACAGTTTTGAACCCAACAGCAATTCATCAATACTTGACTGTGAGCTAAACCTCAAACAGCGGTTGTCCACTTACAGCATAGCAATGGTTGGTATTAATGACAAGCACTGGATTTAGATTTTTCCACATGCTAAAGTAATTTGCCTGGGAATGTGTTCAGCAAGACATCAAATAATTATAGTGTATATTTTTTTATTTCATTGTATAGCATAAAAACAACCTGAGAATCAAAGTTTGAGGACAATATCAGTGTTTTTATCTGCACTAATGTACTCTAGAATCGTTATCACTTAAAGGCTTAACTAGCTTCCCTGTAACAGCAGCAGTGTAGCAGCATATGTATTTATTATAGGTTTACTGTTTTCAAAAACAATGCTCAAAGCATTTATCTCATTCCTAATTCTTAACTATTATTTTCTTCAAAAAGGCTAAGCATTGAAACCAACGAAGCCTGAATTAGAACTCACTTTAATTAAACTAACTACAAAAGTAACTTAAGTTTGCCATTTTTTTGAAAAAGGTTTATAGCTCTACTGGGCAACATGTAAAACTAAATTAAATAATCTCATTTCAGGGGTTGACATTAAGTTAAATTTGTCAATGGAACCTCTGGGCCACTAGTTTTCAAAGATCACTGGCCCGACCATTGTAACCGCTGGCCCAGGAATGTTACTTTTCATTCTAAAAATAACAGTCACCAATTTAATCTTGAACCATTCTGATGCAAGATTCAATTACAACTTTTATTTAATTGAGCTCTAATTATATCAAATATTTTGTATTGTTTTTATATTTATGAGCTCATGTTTATTCAACATGCTGGTAACTGTAAGAGTCTACTTAATCTGATATTAATATGAGACTGTGATAGAGCTGGAATCTCTCCTTCTTTCTTCTCTGTGAGAAACTCTTCATCCTTAGATCTTTACTTTACGAGCTCTCTTAAGGGCTGAGATGCTTTGTGAATAACTTTTATCTTTACCAGGATCTAGTCTTTAACTTTAGCTTTAACTTTCCAGCTCCTCCAGCTGTCTGTCACTGTGGCTAAAACTTTTCTCCGTTCTGTTTTCGTCATGCCCTGCTGTCACTCTCGACTCTTCTGGTGATTTTTTTCCCCTTTGAATGCAGATTGAAGCTCGGCTTTTGTCAGGCTCTGATGGTTTTAAAACCGTTTCAACAAATGTGTTTTTTATTAGAGAAAACCTGCGCTAAAATCTGTGTGCGAGCGTCCAATTCGAGAGTAGCGAGCATGCTACTTCACGCTACTGTCCCTGGGAGGGACAGCAGTGAAGCTGTCGGCTTCCTTTCAACTATGACACACTAGCGCGCACACGAGCGCTTGATACATTGATGCTGTAGCAGTTATTAGCACAACGTATTTTAATTAATAACTGACAAAACACCAGTATGACAGGATAGCGCTGTGAAATATAGAACGTGTTACAGTCTCTTTTTTTTTTCAGGCAGTATTTTAACTGGCCCGAGCGGGCAATCAGCTGGCCCGGACTCTGTCAATCATTCATCCGGGCCAGCGAGCCAGTTATAATGTCGAGCACTGCATTTACATGTCTTTTAGAGAACATGTATCCACACTACAACTGACTTAAAAGTTTTGCTCTTAGCAATCGCTGACGCTAGCTAAATACATTTGATTCAAGTCAAGCAACAACCTCCGGTGGTGAAAATTATGGCAGTGGGAAGTGCAAAAAAATGCAGTTCATTGAGTGTCCACTTGAGGCTGGCTCCAAAAAGTCCAATATGCACCCCATATTAAAATGTCTAATTTGACTGCAGAAATTAACATTTTTACAGCCTGGTACAAAAGAATTATTTTGGTCTCATGTCTTTATCCGCACACACAGCACAGGGAGTGAATTTATTTTATAACTCCTTGTTTTGATTTTAGAGTTATTCATAATAAAGGGTGTGTATGACCTGAGTGACATGCGGGCTTGTTAGCGGTTTGTCAGGAGGCTTAAGACCCGCCTAAGCTTCAGCTCTTTGCCTGTTACCAGGTTGACCGAAAGTTATTTGAGACAGCAATATGCGGATGCCATCAAAAGGCTTAGAAAATGTGGCTTCAGATACAGATTGGTGACATCACTGAGACTATGTCCATGTATATCAAGTCTATGGTAAAAGCTAATCAGTAGCTTTCATTTCAGCCAACAAAAAAATGTGTTACTAGCACAAAACTAAAGTCTGCTGTTGATTTCTTCTGTGTGAACTCTAAAACCCATATTTGAAAAAGAACTGCATCTGCTGTGTTAGCAACAATAAGTAAGGTAACTAAGCAAACTGTCAATGCTGGTTGTTTTTTTTCAAGTATGTCAAACAAGCCAACTGTACAAATACATGCATGGGCATCCTTGATAAAAACAACATTTAAAATCAAAAATAAAATGTATGCAACATTTTCAGGTGACAACATGGGACTGGACCAGGGCAGAGAAAAGCTTTACTGTTTATGAGATAATGTGCAAGATCTTAAAGGTAAGGCAGTCTTGTCTATTTCAGTACTTTATTATGTTTGGATAAGAAACCCTCACCCAAGAGAAAAAAAAGGGAATATACTTAATCTATATAAATTGCTGATTTATTTGAATTTGTTCTCCTTTATTCCCACTGAGATGCTGAGGGTTCAGATTGTATTGTGCAGTTTCTGCAGGTTCACGGTCACTTGGATTATGGGAATCTATATGCAATTCATTATCTTGACTCTTATTTTGTTAAACTTATTCATACAGATTCATGTACTGAATTAGATATAAGATGACCTGCACTGCCATACCTATTACACAGCACCAATTGGTTCCATAAGGCTATATGAAAAAATATCAGGGCTTTGGGGTTCAGCTAATGTAAATGTTGAGCAAACACAGAAGAAGAATTCAAATGCTCTTAAAGCCGCAGTAATCAGTCTTGACTGGATGTCAAAGTAAGTAAAGCTTGCTTTAGCTTCAAGAAACTGCATTGCTGTTGCTTCTTGTTATCTCTGTGTCACTCTGCCAATCTGTACCTGATCGGCATGGCAGCCTCACTGTCTTATCTTAGGATAATGACCTTCTGGACAAGAGAAAGCACTGCTTCAGCGTCCAGACAGAGACGGGGGAGGACTTGTTCTTCAGCGTGGAACTGGAGAGCGAGCTGTTGACCTGGGAAAAGGCTTTTCAGATGGCTACTTTCCTGGAGGTGGAGCGGATACAGGTCTGCGCCTTAACAATGTGCAGGGAATAGTGATGATTCTAATCTGGCACACTGTTCCGGCTCAGTTGTTTCAGTACAAAGATTGATAATGCTCATATGACTTTTCCAGCTGAGCAAAAGTGCCTGTCGTGTCCTTGTGGTAACATCTTGTTCTCATATTCTGCAGTGTAAAACATATGCCTGTATCATGGAGAGCCACCTCATGGGACTTACAGTTGACTTCAGTATGGGCTTTGTGTGCTTTGACGCAGCTTCAAAGGTGAGTGTGCGACTTCATCATCAATAAGAATATGGAAAAACGATCCTCTCAGTGGGAGATTTCAGACGATTGTATTGTACATACTGAGATGACATCAATCACAATTCCTCAGCCTCACTTATTCTATTTTTTGCTGCTGCTAACTTATTCTGCACTGCATGCATTTTGAGAGCATGAGCACATTTATTTTGACGGCTGCTTCCCCCCCTCAGTACAAACCTCTCATTCCAGCCTGCAGTACATTTTGGCCTTTACCCAAGTCTGCGAGCCATGCAGACAACTCCGCTGGTGCACATTATGTGGATGAGCAGGACACAAGCACTGTCATATTGTTCTCTAAGATTTTGGCCCTAATTCCTGCAATGTGAAGCAGCAATGTCCCACAAGGATGGTAAAAATGTTGCCAGCGTATTGTATACAGAACAAGATCCATATGTAGACTGAAATCGCACACAATTCACTGGGCAGGATAACTTTGTAATTAAAATCTGCTATTGGGAAATGGAAAAGAAAAGCATGTTAGAATAATATTGAATCTGAAACTGAAGCTCATATAAACTCTGTTGAACAAGTTAAGCTGGAATCTGCTGGCTAAAGACAGAGTGAGATGTTTTTATCAACAAAAAAAAAATCCTGAATTAAGGAAAGTATTTTAAAAGAAATCTGAATTTGAACATATTCAACAAGGATGACAAATGCTCGGATGATTTAGGGTTAAGATTGAGCTGATGAAGTAAAATTATGACTTTTAAGACACACAACAAAGGAGATCATCAGCTAGCCAACATTATTTACGCAAGATCGAGTAGATTAGGTAACTACATGCATTGGAAATTAAATTAAAAAAAACCCAATATAACCATAACTTGAGAGTGGAAAATGTCTTGTTTGATCTATTCTAAGTATTCATATTATTTAACACTGTAAAATTAGTAATACCACAATGCAAATGTACACCATGTACCTTGAGTGACACGTCACAATTCAGATTTACTTTAGATGGCCTAAATCAAAATCAAACAAGGATAACATTTTGAAACCTGTGAAACCTCAAGAGCAAAAGAAATGTGAAGAACACATAATCAGAAATCCATTATCTATGCAGACATTAAGCATTTGCTTGAGCTTAATTTACAAGAAAGAGCATAAAAGAAGTCATGGCGCCTGCTGGCTCTGTTGCTCTGATTAAAACCAAAACACCCCCCTCCCCCCTGGTGCACACTGATTATATACACACCCACCTCTGTAGAAGTGCCCATAGTGCTGCACAAGTCTTACAAAACAGTAAAAAACCACTGCAAATAAATTTAGAACAAATACAAGTGAATACGAGCTCTTGGTACAAAAAGTGTGAGGAGAGTGGCTACTGTAAGTGTCTTATAAAAATGAATAATTTTAGATTTTAAATGCATTTTGCTTAACTTAATGTATCTGAATGGAGTAGAAATGGAAACTAACTATGTTAGGTTTTAATGTTTCTGTAGAAATGTATAAGAGTTTATAAATGGCATTTATTTATATGAACCCTAAGTTGTAAAGTAATTAGTATCTGCAGCTGGAACATATTTTCAGTTGAGTAAAATATACATACAGTATTTCTTTCTAAAATGAGGTAGTCCAAAGTGTAGGATTGCATAGAAGCTAACGCTTTAGCTACTTCTGCATTATCATACAATTATCTCGTAAGAAGCTAACCTCACAAGGAAGCGGAATAACCTTTTCTTAACTTTTTTTCCATTAAGTTCAAATAACCTTTCGAAAATGAGGTGTTTATGACTGACAGGAGAGAGATTGTGATGTCATCACCTCTATAATGAGCAACAACGTCTGGTAGAAAGGCTGTCACACTATAGAATATCAGCTTTGACTAATATTTGTTTCTTTCCCATATCACAATGAGATGTCATATGTATGGTATGTTGAACATGATTTCTTGAGCAATTATTAATGAGACTGGTGTCGGCGTAATTATTACAGGTACAGTATTGCAGCATATATCAAAGAGATCCATATTCATGGCGGCCAGCTGTCTGCCTGAGGAGTCCGTCTGGAAGCTGGCTGTCGTTTGGCTCACTGTGCAGCTTTTGTTTATTCACTTCAACACTAATTGAATCACTGAAGCTCTGCTATTTCAGGTGAAATTGCTGTGGCTTGTTAAATTTCCCAATGGCAAAAATAACATTTTTATATCTCAGAAGGACTGCTATCTGCTATCTGCTGACATGCCCCATTTCTCACTGGATCCATGTGGACGTAGACATGATTTATTCATAGAAAAATGACACAAGAAGGAATTCACATATTAGATTAAAGTAAATAAAGATTCATAGTTGCATTGTATTGGTTCAGAGCTTAAAATCATTCTCACAAAATCTGTTACTTCTACATTTCAGGCGGTGCTGTGGAGATACAAGTTCTCTCAGCTGAAAGGATCGTCGGATGATGGAAAAAGCAAGATCAAGTTTTTATTCCAAAACCAAGACTCCAAATCAATTGAAGCGAAGGTAAAGCAGAGGGATATTTAATGCTTGATGTCAAGAGGAAAGCTACTCAACAAGAATTTAAAAAGCAGCAAGGTCAAAGAAAATGAATTGCTCATATATGACTTGAGTATCGATTTTTTTTCTCTCTCTCTTTCAGGAGCTGGAGTTTTCAAACCTCTTTGCCGTGCTTCATTGTATTCACGCTTTCTTTGCTGCCAAAGTTGCGTGCCTGGACCCCATGTTTGTGGAAAGCCAAGGCACTGCAACTACCACCAGGTTTCATTCTCTTTCTATCTCATGTAATTCACAGACACCTAAACTCAAATACGCCACTTGACAGGCACCGCTTTACCCACACCCCCTCTGATGGGATGCTGCACTTAGCCGAGACTGTGGCCTAAATGGGTGGACAGGAGAACTGGAAAATGTTCAAAATATGACACTATGGAGGACAGCTGCATACCATAGTGGAATTAGACACCTCTCTTGGAGCTATATACTTGATATCTCAAAAGACGTTTCAGATTCCTTGAATAACTGTGGACCTAAGGAAGTACCTCTACTTTGAGAAACTTCCCAAAAAAGACTCTATGGACACAAAAGGTGCCAATCAGCAAATGTTTTTAAGTGTATTTGTTCTTCTCTTGATCCTCAGACATCCCTATAATCAACACATCTCAAAGAAAAGTGAAGTTCTTGTCCCTTTTTAAGAAATTTTAGTCAAGACTTTCAACAGAGAGTTTCAACAAAGCAGACTTTTCACCTTTTTGTGCCACATCAAATGTTTAATCACTTGAACATCCGCAAAGACTTATCTTATACACTGGTTATGGTTACTAAGTGTGAGGAGGCGTTCTATATTTCCAGTTCAAGGTGTGTGTTCATGAGGTGGAATTTTTAACTACAGTCAAATAGTATTAAATAAATTATTTTTCACTATATTCAAACTAAAAAGAAATGGCAACACAACATTTAGTAACCCGAAAGATTGCTAGAAGCATAGGTGGACGATTATACAGTGACCTCATATTTTTCTCTATATATTCTGAACACCCATGTCAGACTAACTCTTTGCTGTAGTACTGGACAGGAAAGCTGTATGAAAGTGTAGTTTTGACTGTACGGATGAGAGTGACACTTTAATAATCAGTTTCACCACCCATGCAGCCACAATCAGACAAAACCATGCACTCCAAACATGATTAGAAACACCCTCATCATGTTTATAGCATTTTCTCACAAACTTGATTATGTAAATAAACAGTGACATTCAAATGAACTCAAAGAATGATGAATTATGGCGATTACTTGAGGGATTACTTGTAGGGATTATTGCATTTGTTAATTTGATGTGCACCAGAGATGGCTAGGTAGATAGCTCATAACCTTCAACATTTACTATATGGACCAATTTAGAAGAATAAAATCAACTATGGTGTATCGTTTGGAATATTTTATCTGTTTTGACTTCAGCTTGTAAATATGAAGAATACTTTTTCATTGACAAGGAAAAAACAAACCACGAGGAGGGAATAGAAATATGTAGCGTCATGTCCTCTAAAGGTTTGAGATGCCCCTTTAAACTGCACTCTCTGTTAAATAGTTTGCATATGCAGCAGAGTGACAACTTAACTATCATTTTCAAATAGAGTTCAGGTCAATTAGTGTAATTAGTCATGCTCTTACCTTCCATTTACATAGTAGAATCCAAACACAAGAGGCCCATGGGTAAGTAAACTCTAGAGGATAGTAAATTAAATGGGGTCAGTAAAGTGCTTGGTACTGTGTGGGGCTTGTTGAGATGACATGTGTGTTTGAGAGCGACTAATGGTGGTGCAGTCTATGCAAAGAAAGTCTGAGGGATGCTTTTGTGCTTCAAAATGATCACGATTACATACCCTTATAACACAGGATCTAAAGAGTGAGGTTTATCTTATTTTTAGCAGATGTTTTATTAACAAATATGCTGTGTCATAAATTAATAAATGAGACCTTTTATAACATGGCTCACTTGTGGTCAGTTGTATTTTTTATGTTTGGGCACTGAATGTTCTGCAGTAGTAAGTCTGCAGTCAAAGTGTGCAATGTTTCTGCACTTAAAGTTGCTTTTATGACTTTGTGGTTTTGCATATAGGGTATTTACAGTATAAAATGGACAGCTGGAAATTGTTCTTGACAAAACTTAAAGGAATATTTATTTTCTGATAAATACTCCTCATTGCTGTCTTTTTTTAGAGTTATAAGATGCCATTATCATGTTTGTGCCTTGAATTTGAAGCTGGAACCAAGAATTACCTTAACTTAACACAATGTTGAGATACAGGGGAAATCTCAACAAAGTCAACAAAATCACCTTCAAGCTCCCATTAGCAGTATTTCTTAAAATGCATCATGTTTTAGTATGTTTAGACACCATTTAAATACACTAATATTTTTGTAGCAACAAGCAAAACAAGTATCATGTGTGTCATGGTGTCACTGTATTGCCCTAACAGATTCATTATTATATTATTATTAATTATTATTTGCAAGCAAACTTAATTCTGTACAATGTGAACAAACAATTCAAATATTTAGAAAGTATAAAATACCACAAGAAATTCAAAGTAAAAGTCACCAAAAAGTCAAAAAAACTTCAGCTTAGAGCAAAAACAAGTGTAGCACAAATTATATTGGATAAGCAGATTCATCATAGAAACAGAGGCTAGCTTTAGCTAACGTAGCTAACTCATTCATTTTCAGCTCATGACACTTTAACTTACATTATTAATGCAGCATGGTCTGGAAGTCCTCTAATCCTCCTTGCTGTCCTTGTTATCCCTCATTTGGGGCAACACCATTGACCATATGTTATTATACAGTCTACAGCACGTTAGTATTCCCATTGCTGGAGTTAGAAGTCCGTAACAACCACCATTGTCAATGTCAACCCTTCCCTCGTCTCTTAAATTCAACTAAAGTAAAATATTGTTATATTTAATTTCTTTACGTTGTAAAACACAAGCCAGTTTAATTAGTCCATATGTCAACAGTTATTTACAGTTCCAGCCTTTTTAATTTATTTTCTTAGTTTTACTAAATGCATTATAAAAGTTAAAACAAATACTTTATTTAAGTGTGGTAAAATCCTTAATTATTGCAAAAAGTGTACGGTTAAATCTGGTCAAGTATATCCTGAGTTTTACCCATCATATATAATTCAAGATTTTCTTATTAATGCAAAGTTCAAAAACTGATTTTACCCTGCAGCTTTGGTTTCCATCAAACATCTTGCGCCTATTACCTCTGTTTCCTGCAAGCGAAGTAGGGGGAGTTTTGCATCAATAATTTATATCCTCTTCACAAGCAGAGGTTGAATGGCCGGTCACTCATTACAAACTCACGCTGTGTAGTCAAATAAAGTTTAAACCCTCAAAACTGTACTTCAAATAGAACCACTGATTCCTATCTTAATTTGAGGGCGTAGCCTATGTGTGTCAAATGTTACACAGAGCAGCCAAAATCATTTCACTAGATTAAATGCTGAAATAAAATCAGAATAAATGAGTATTGTGCTGGAATATTTCACTCTTTAAAGTATGTTACATATTTGAAATGACTGAGTTAATATTCAACTATAAATATATGTTCAGAAGGAGCATGTCTACCTGTTTCTGGTGGTCTAATACATGCAACATCTAATTGCTGTTTCTTTGGTTGTTGACCTGCCATAGCTTCCATAACTCTCGTATATCTTTTTTATGGAAATCAACACAAGCTTAAAGTTTTGTCAATTCCTTTTGACAGAATGTAGCTTCACTATTTCATATTTTGTCAAAAAGTCAGATTGAGCAGTTAATGTAAAAAAATAAATTAATAAACAACAGTTGCTTCTGTTTCCATCAAAGCACGCATCTTGCAGCCATATTACGTCTTTGTTTCCTGCATTAAAATGTAGAGTTCTGTCAGACATGAAGTATAGTATATCACACTATTCATTTTTACTGCATAGTCTTGATGTTTATAAAGGGCCTTCTTATTTGATGAGCATCTAAGTGCTGCAGAGAGACATGTAACTAATGTGTATTTGTGCATTACACTCACATCCTGTCAATATATATTTTCATTGATTGATATTAACTTTAAAACAGCAGAGGCATCATCCAAAAAGGCTCCAGGCACATGAAAGAATGGGCTTCTCTGCGTTATCAATATATAGCAGCAGTGACAAAAACAAAAAAGATCACCACAAGCCTCGCAGAGATAGCAGAGTGGCACTTTTACTACTGTTTCTACCTCATGTCTCCCTGCAAATATGACTCATTTGACACTTGTACTACGTCAGACCTACTCTGGGAACCAAATTAAACACTACACGTAGCGGTTACAATGATAGGAAGAGGCATAATGTGATTGTGACCTTTATTTTTGTGCCAAACATTTATGAAGGAACAACACATTTTCAAAATGAACAGCACACTCTAAGAGAAATGAACCTATAGGCCTGATAAACAGTGACACAACTGTACGTGCTCTTGACGAATTTACCTAATATAAAGCAGAGATTGGTTATGACTTATTATGTTCTGGGTGCCAATTTTGTAGTCGACTCTTGTACACATTTAAACACAATCGCAGAAGTACCGTTAACTTTGGTGCAAGACATGACCTGAGAGTCGACGTGGCTGGCCCCATTGCTTTCAATGCTTCATGTGCTCTCTAATTAGCTATTACATTTCAGAGAATGGTGCACAAACCGCTGCATGTCTGTAATTGGTCATGTGAAATTTAATGGATGCTACGCGAATTAAATGGGGTCATTTTCTTATGGGTAATTACAAGAGGAATTGTTCCATTATTGCTTACTTGGAAAGCTTTTTGATGAATGTAAAAAAGAAAAGAAAAACGGACAGAAAAAAAGTAAACGTATTCACACACAAATTACTAATATAATTATCACCCCCATTTTCAAACAAAGTATTTTTTTTTTCATTACACCAGAACAAAAAAAGTCTTATCTATTAAACAGACAGCAGTGGAGTTTTGATCTACAGAGTTCCCAGTGTCAAAATACAGTACAAGAGGGCGCTACAACAAACCAAATGCAACTTAAACAGTATGCAGAATCATATGAAAACAATACATCTATATCATCACTTCTTATATTGAATAGAATTAATATCAACAACATTCAACTCAGCTTCTGGAATACTAAAATATGCATTCAAACTATGATGGAGAAAATTTCCAAGTCTGTGATGGTAAAGCACAAAGAAAAAAGTGTGACATCTATCAGTGATGTGCTATTTTCTTTCTCAATGTGGAATGTTTTCTTTTTTTTTTCTTTTTCTTTTTTACAGCATTTTTAGGAAGGTAAATTACTGTGCCAGGGAACTCTCAAAAGTCCTAAAGTGATGGGGTTTGTTGGCACTTAAAGGCCATCACTATCCGGGAAGTTGTGCAAGCAAATTGTACTTTGATTTAACAGGATGAACATGACAAGAAGTCCAGTCCACAATAAAAAAATTGCCAAAAATGGCACCTTTGTTCATTTGTCTTTTTTTTCACTTGAGGACTGACATGATAAGGTGCTTTATCGGACACTTCTTCAGTCCAGGATACAAAAAGGCTTCAAAATCCTCAGTGATTCTGATTTGCATTGTTGTCTAATAGTAAAAAGGATGCAGTACTATACACAATTGTAGATGGGTCTCAAGGCCTTCAAATTGATTGATTTTATTTTCATCCTTTTTTGTATTTTTTTTTTTCCAAAACAGTTCCAAACTTGATCACCTGGGACATCACCTCCAGTGACCAATCATAAAAAGTGAAGCAAAGTCAGGAACACCCAGCACATACACAGTATATTCATGCATGTACTCATTATAGACTGACATCTCCTCTTCAAACAGAATCCCCTTAAAAGAAAAGAACCCTTATTACCTTGATCAATTCTTTGAACCTCTGACATGATTAATTTAACCATTATACAAATTGAATCAACACTGGAAAGAGGAGAGGGCCTACAATACCGTATTATGTCGACCAGGATATCAGCTAGTCATACGCAAAGTGAGAAAACACAATATGTCAGCACCCTGTAGAAAAAGTTACTTAAAAGGTGCCCTGTAGAAAAAATGATGAACCACTCAGGTCGCTCAATGATTTCTTGTAATAGGAAGGTACAAACGTTTTGACTGAAAGTGAAATATCAAGATAAGTGATGACCTAAGAGTCCCATTCATGATTATGCAAGAACATCTTACTTCAAGACTCAAGATGGGAGGACTTGTCCTAATTTGCCTCTCAGTGTCTCTTGCTTCTTTCAGCTTTAATGAATCCTCAAACACTGACAGTAAGTTAAAGCCTTTCTTTTTTCTTTTTTTTTTTAAAGCTGCAATAAAAGTCTTCATCTTAGCATGATCATATTTTAACAAATATAGTAAGATCTTTATTTTTTGTACAATTTTGTATCTGCACACTTCTGCAGAAAACCTGACATTGGGATAAAATCTGGTTTGCAAAACAGATTTCCGACACTAAGTCCATAAAGAATACTTCTTACAAGTTTTTTTGTTTCTTGGTGTACAATTCAAAAGAAAAAAAAGTCAACAAAATCAAAGAACTCATAACAATCATAACATTATAATCCAATAATATCTATGACGTCTTTTTCCATTACAGTTTTGCCATTAAGATTTATTGGAAATAATGCAACATTTGTACTGAAAAGGATGAAAAAAAAAAATTTCAGCAGGCGCTGCACCCATTAAGAGTGAATATCAAGTGAAACAGTCATTTCTCTCTGAAGTACAGCAAATATGCTTTCAATGACTCAGGCAGCGGCAGAGCCATTATTTGGTCTCTCAACATGTTCACTTGCTTGAGGATTTCAATGTCGCCAATGTCTCTGTCCTCCTCCTCCTCCACTTCCTTGTGCTCTTCCTCATTGTGCTCCTCCTCCTCGCTCTCCACCATTTGGGGGATCAGCTGATTGCCTACAAAAACATAGGTGTTGATGCGTCGC